TGCACCCAACGCTAATGATAAAGGACTAATCACAAAAATCTACAAAGAGCTGAAGAAACTCAACAACAAAGAAAATAATCCAGTCAAAAAATGGGCAGAAGAGCTAAAAAGAAACTTCTTCAAAGAGGAAATGCCAATGGCCAACAGGCATATGAAAAAAATGCTCAACCTCACTTGTAATCAGGGAAATGCAAATCAAAACTACAATGAGATACCATCTGACACCAATGACAATGGCACATATTAAAAAAACTAGCAACAAAAAATGTTGGTTAGGATATGGAGAAAAAGGAACTCTCCTGCATTGCTGGTGGGAGTGCAAACTGGTCCAATCACTATGGAAAGCTGTGTGGAGATTCCTCAACCTACTAAAGATAGAGCTTCCATAAGATCCAGCAATCCCACTCCTAGATATTTACCCAAATGACACAGAAACATTAATTTCAAAGGGCACCTGCACCCCTATGTTTATAGCAGCACTATTCAGTTGCTAAGCTATGGAAACAACCCAAATGCCCAAAAATAGATGACTGGATCAAGAAGATGTGGTACATATACACAATGGAATATTACTCAGCAATCAAAAAAGATAAACACATGCAGTTTGCAGCAACATGGATGGAGCTAGAAGGGATCATGCTCAGCGAAATAAGTCGGAAAGAAAAAGAAAAATACTGGATGGTCTCACTCATAGCAGGAATTTGGAAAACCTAACTAAGGGACCAGGAAAAAGACTAATTAATACAAAGTAAAAATCAAAATCAACAAGCAACTATAAACCAGAGACCCACGGGGGTGGGGGGGAGAGGAAGGATTAGGGTCAAAATAAGGGGGGGTATAATTGTATGGGGAATATAACCAAAATGAAAATGCATACATTGTGCATAAATGAAAAATGATATAAGAATTATATAAAATAAAATATCAAAAAAAATCTGATGCAAAAAAAAAAAAAGAAAGAAAAAGAAAATGGCCTGTCCAGAAAGAGGAATAATGAGGCCTGAAATTGAGAGAGCATGTGTTCAATGTAAACAAAAAGTCTTTTAATGGTACCAGTTATTCTTTCATATTTTAGACTATCCTTCACTTGAGAGCATCAGTGTGTAAGGTAGGAAGGTTTATATTCCAGAAACTGGCTGGTCCTTACATGCCCGGTGTCAAGGAAGGCAGGGTCAGCCAGTGACCAGTGCCTGGCCCTGTATCTTCAGCTAGCTTCTGCTGCTGCTGCTGCTATTTGTGTCTTAGGGACATTTGGCCCAGTCAGGGCCTTATGGCCTTTCCCTACTTCTTACTCATCTAAAGTCTGGCAGGTACCTGTAGTTTTTCAGACCAGGATGGTCACCTTAAAGTCTATACTGCAGGACAGGCCATTATAGCTACAGAGTCTTCTATGACAATTCTTCCCCCTACCTCCACTCTACCACCTCCCCCAGTACTCACACATGTACATGTATACAAACACACACACATACACACACACACACACACACACCTTCCTGTGCTGCCACACACTCAGTAATTCTGAGACCCAACAGAGCCATTCAGAGTTTGTGTGGAAAGGGATGGCAAGAAAATGAGAGCCTTAGCATCCACTTTTATTATTGCTAATAACAATAAATACAGACAAAATATGTATTCTTTTTTGAAACACATTTGAATAAACAATTATTTTATAGAATTGAAATGTTCCACTACAATGTCAATATGATTAATATGGACCTGCAGGAATGCCAGTTTGATTTCTTATAGCATATGTCAGAAGTCTACATCCCACTAATAGGGAAATGAAGTAAATTACTTGTGTATGCTACTAACTAGCTTTTAGCACCTTCTCTCCAAGTGGGAAAAGGTCACTAAAGCTAAAATGCCCTTATAGGTGAAATGGGGTTGCATGTCAACTGATGCCACTTGCAGTCATTGTCACCCATTATTACCTTTGAATGGAAACACAAAATTAGATATTAAAAATCAAATTCACTGAGAACAGATAATCCCTAAACACTAAAAAAAAAAAAATCAGTTGAATAAGTGACTTTGCATCTATAGTTACACTTTCAAGAACCGACTATACCCATATACAAGTATACAATCAACTGTACATATTTTCTAAAGGTGTGCAATACACTGTATAATGCAATCTCACTCCCTCAAAATGTTTCATTATTAACTTTTCCAAATACTAACAAAATCTGAAGATATATAAGCTACTTAACTCAGTTTTTTCAGATGAGAAAAATATCAAATATTACAGAAAGAATCAACACTCAACATTAAATACAATAAAATCCTATGGTAAATCAAAATAATTTCCTTTGCAAATGAAAATAAGTTGGAAAATGTGCAGTTCTGTTAGACCACTCAGTAACAATATGATGATAAATACATTTTGCTTCACTAAGTCTCATGAAATATCACTTTATTAGTTACCATATTGTGTGCAGGCATTGTACTAATGAATAGATACAGAAATGAAGATATGTTCTTATTCTTAAGGGCTTCCAATTAAATAAGACAGATATGTAAAGAAATAATTGACACCACAGATGATATTCAGAGAACTATACTCTGAGTTTTTTCAGCAACCTTGTTACCCTGGGAATTAGTGGCATAATTTGTTGAGCTAGTTAGACAGGATGGCTAGGGATGTCATGAATAAAGTTACCTGACCCTTAGAGTTATTTAACAATGACATTGTTTTTGGAAATACCATGCTATACCTACCTGCATGATCAGCACAGATGAATATCCATATTTAAGTTATTACCAAAGGTTGGCCTGTTTTGACTGATGAGCACATTATCTTTTCATTAACCACCAGTGATGTGACTGCTTTGGTTCCTTGTCTACTTTTGGGAGGGTTGTCTTTCGATGTGTTTTTAAAATTCTCAAGCCATGTGAAGTGACAAACGATTGGAAGGCATAAGCATTTGACTTTAGAAGTCTTCTCCCAGAAAATGTTTGCAATTACGTTGATGGGGGTGGAAGGAAAGAGACACAGCAAAGCTCTAGCTCAAATTGGATTTGTAAGAGCCAGAGAACTGGTTAAGCGAGTCAAGTGTTAGGATTATCAAAAGATTCTGCCGTGTTGATCAGTCTGAATCCATCAAAAGGCAACAGCTTTAGGATTAATTCTCTGAGGCAACTGTAAAAGCAGAAGGTATGTGACCTGATTGTTTTGTATGGCAGACTTTGATGTGCTCGTCATTTGAACAAGAAGGAAAAGGAACCTTCATTTTAGAGGAGCTACTGTTTCAAATGCTTGTGAAGATAGCAACTGAGGACCAAGGGCTGGAAATTATATAGGGAGCCAGAACTGCTTTCAATATCAGGAAGAATTTTGTAATGGAACTGTTTAAAAATGAAGGTAGTGAGTTCTTTAGCCCTGAATATATTGAATTTGAAATTAAAAAAAAAAAAAAGTTCTAATCTGCCAAGGGTGTTTTAGAATTCAGAGGGGACTAATATACCAGGTCAGAAACTATAATAGATTCTGAGGTTATTTTCAAGTTTGAATAGACTATGATATAGAACAGTTGTCTTTTGATAAGTATGTAATAGTATTACCCTGTGATTTAAATTCCCTATTTAGGTATTAGTTTTGATTAGGCATCGAAATATCATCAAACTTAATTTATAAATTCATTTGGATTTTTAAGACAAAGATTTCTTTCAAATCATATATTTAACTTGAATACTATATTTAGCTTTATTGTTACATTTGCAGAAAAATAACAATATTTCAGGAGAAAATTTTAGGTACCAGTCTTTCAGTTTCTATTCAGTATAAAACAAATGTGCATCTATGGCAGGATAGAAGGAAAAATCCCCATTAGTAGCTCACAATAAATGTCAGCACCTTTTATAGATTTTTCCCTGAATGATTAAAAAAAAGAACAAATTCCTTCCAATAAAAGTGCTCTAAAAATGATGTCATTTCAAGACTCAAGTCCTATTAAGTTTTGACTATGCAGAACCACGGAAGTGAAGTTACTCAGAATGCCTCAAATGCTAAGTAAACTGGAAGAGAAAGCAGTCATATGTCAGAAAACTGTGAAGATCAAATTGTGTGAATAAAATGTACAGATCTTTGGTCATGCACTCCTGTAAAGGAATTTATTGGGCTCATCATCTGCCACAGTCTCTGATAACTAGTCTTATTATAAAATATGGCTTTATAAAGTGGGGTAAAGTTGTTTCTTATGTTGAATGGAAATCTGATTCCTTATAAGTTCTAGGCTTTGTTTTTAGATCTCCCTCTAAGCTGCCCACAAGAAGATATTTTGTGTTTTACACATTCAATTTCAAGAGTTTTCAAACACCGGATTCAATTAAACTGAGAATGATGAACTAAAAATCACAGTGTATTCACTATATACTTAATCATTACATTAAATTACATTTTTTGCTTCCAAATATCAAAATGTAAACTGATGATTCCCTTTTTACTTTATTCGCATTTTCAGTCATAATACCTTGAGCTAGGTACGCTGAACACATATTCAATTATGCTTCTTGACAGCTGGGAAAAATGGAATCATGTTGCAGCATGTGGTTGCTCTCAAATAATATTCTAGCTTTCAAGGGTTGCATGTAGTGAAGACTGCTGTGATAAAGACTTTCTTTCTTCCTACAACCAGAGTAGAGTGACATGGGAATATAGTTAATTTTGATTATGCAAATACTTTTCATACTGCTTTGTCTCACAGGCCATCAATGAACAAAAGGTGCTCTACCTTTAAAATCAGGTTTAAAATTCTCTCAAGGAATTGATCTTATATAGATGTTAAATTTAAATATTTTTATATATTTAGTAATGCTCTATACCTACATTCAAATTTAGAAAACATTACAGTAGTAGCTTTTGTGTGTTTGTGTGTGTAATTTAAATATAGTGGACCTCAACAGATAATAAAGAATTTAGAAATGTTAAACACAATTTATCCACAAGAATTATAGCAATCTGGATAATGAGCACAATTATTTTGTCTTTTAACCTGTAGCACTAGAAGAAGGATGATAATGGAATGAAAGGAAGGCAGACTTTAAAGAAAAAAACAAAAACAGACCAAGGGACAAAGCCATAGATGAAGAGATGGTATATCCTCTTGAACCTAACCTTACAATCAGGAAGTACAGCTCCTCCTACTGTGATAGACTTGACACATCATTGATACTGGCATGTCAGAGATCCAGAGCAGAGGGTGAGCCCTCAGTATTAATGGTCCATGGATAATGAAGTCACAGTGATTGGCAAGGTCAGAAAAATATAACCACTACTCATGGACTATGTGTTTGTGGTTGAATTCATTGAGAATTCTGAACATAATCATTTTTCAATAAAGCAAATTAGATCAAATAAAAACACTACCTTTACATGATGATGCAAAATGAGAACAAGATCAGTTATTAATGGAACTTAGTGCAGCACCAGCACCAGTTGCTATGGTGACAAGTAAAAAAAGAACAGTAAATACATTTTGGTGTTTAATGATTAGACTGCACTTTTCTCACAGTTGTAACTGATGAACAGCACTCAGATGTGGATGTAAAGGGATGGCAATAAGTAAAAATATTAACAAGTAACTTGCAGCAATTGTAGAATTAAGACAGGAAACCTTGTGAATTAGAAACTCTATTAGATCAAATGTAGAGGGAGCCACCCAGGCCTTGAAAACAAGGATATTCCTAGAAATACTACCATAAATCAATGGCCAATGAGAGGTGGGAATCGAGATGATACAATAATGAAATAAGATGAGGAAGGGACACTATTTTGTTTTAGTTTCTTCTTTCTGGAAGAGATTAACAATTCCTAGAGTCAGTGATTAAAACAATATTTACTTTTAACATACTTTACATATGCTTAAGCAATTCAGAAAATCCACATATAGGTCACCCATTCTATTATGGCTTTTCTCAAATAATTTGTTTTCAAAGTCTCTCTTACACACACATACACAGAAAAGGGAAAAGCCAATTAAGGTAGGTGGAAAGGAAGGCCACTGATTCTAAACAACTATCATCTGAGTAGGGAAAGTCCTTGATTTGGAAAATGCATGATAATGTAGTCTAATATCTGTTCTATTAATATTTTGAAAAATATGTTTGAAATTTATGATTGTATATATCTATATGCTAGAATTAAAGGTCTATGTCCATGTAAAAACACACTTCTAAAGTTAGGTATATTTCCATGTAAAAACACACTTCTAAAGAATATATACAACAGATTAACACTTACTGCAGACTGTGGGAAACTACATTTCATTCCAGAGAAATCAAATATATGCGTTACCTGAGATATAAATCGGGGGCCTTAAAAACCTATGTTTATATCTTTAAAACTGATTAAAGAAATATATCATCTTATAAGGCAGAATCATCTTAGCTGAGAACATGAATGATTAACATTCTATCATTTTGGGTTAAAGTTGATGAAACATCTAAACAGAAGCAGGCTGCAAAGACCACTGTCAATACCAAAAGCCCAGTCACATTTTTACATTTAGAAAAGAATTCACTATGAATAATTTACTAATGTGGTAATCTAGCATGGTTCTTTACAGTTGGTATGTATCATCACTGAATATTGATAGGGTACTAGTTTATTTTAAACCCCCCAAATTTCTTTCTGCAACTCAAATGTGAACATTTAAAAGCTTGAGAAATGTGACATTAATGACCCACCTATCTAGGGGGCAACTTTCCATACATCCTCAACTATATTGGAAACAGGTAATGACAGAAAGGTATTTTAGGACTACCACCCCAGAATACAAAAACTTCACTCAACAGCTTACATGTTAAGATAAACTCAAGTCAAGTGTAGCTTAGAACTACTAGTGAAATCAAGAGTGTTAATTTACTGAGCTTGAGCCAGAAAATATAAAGAGAAATACAATACTCCTAGATACTGAAATAAACCAACAGTGAGAACTAGTAGAATCATCATGTCAGTAATTACCAATGGCATTATGGCTTTGCAACTTGATATCTTATGCTCTTAATGAAGAGCTGAATCTTAGTTGGACCATGTTTAGTGCAATTTAGGTTAGGGAAATGTATCACATTTTAGAAAAATTTATGATCAAATAAATGGTGAAAAAAGGGTTTAAAAGAAGTTAACAAAGATCAGAAAGAATTCAATAACTCTTATACCTGTAGTAATAAGGTAGAATTCTCACCTCTAATTTATTTTTCACCTCATATAATCGAGTATAAATAATTCATTTTTACTAAAGAAATTTCCCCTGTTAACTTTGATTTGCTTATACTAGTCTTTCATTGATAAAGTACTTTAAAAATGAAAACATCAAAGCATATGAGTTTTGCTTACATAGGAAAATACTAAGTATTCTGAATTTCCAAGATTATTCAATATAATTTTTCTTAAAATGTACTTTACATTTTAAGTTTCTTGGAACTCCTTATTCATAAGTGGCGTACATTACAGTCATAGTAATTCACTAGCAGAGGGACATTTTAAGATGCAAAGACCTTTTCACCAACAATTATGGTTGACACTTACTGTAGGTTTCTAAGACTCAAATAGTTTTAGGATGCGTAAGCACGTACTACTTTTAGAAATGATTAGAAAACCATGGGTCCCTGTATTTATTAAACTGAATCACTTGACAGTAAAATTCAGTTAAGGCTCTTGGCATGGGTGAAACTTCTTCCCACTCAGATCTGCTGCTGTGGTATACCTGCACTTCATCTGTGATTTCATCTGGTGCATAATCACCACCTAATATATAAATTTTATCCTCAATTCCAACTGCACCTGCATTAAAGCCTGCACATTCAAAGGAACCTTCACCCTTCCAAACACAAGTATCTGGACAAAAACTATAAACCTTATAGGTGGAAAGGTCACATATATACAGTGTGCAGTTTACCGGGACAGCTTTAATTAGTGTTGCATGAAAAAACTGCCCGAACTCTGCTACTAGTTCAGACCACTGATCAGTTGTAGCATTGTATTTAAAAAAGCAATCAAGAGATGGGTTGAAGGCATCTGTAATCTCTACCTCTGAGCCAAGGACATAAATTACATTTTGGCACGCGCTTGCTTCAGGATAGTAAATACCTCTGGGTAAGGGGCTAACAGACACCCATTCTTTGGAAAGAGGGTTGTAAGATTCAACATCTAAGAGACTTTTAATTTCCTGAGATCCTCTCGTCTTTCCACCTATGACAAAGAGTCTGTTGAGAACCATAACTGACGTATGCATGGTTCTTGGTGTTTTCATCGTTGACACTAAGGAGAAATCATTTTTGACGGGACAGTAGCACCAGGTTTGATCAGTGGCGTCATGATACAATTCCGCAATGTGCAGTCGCACTGTTCTACAACATGCCCCTTTGCAGCCACCTGTCAAGAACATTTTCTCTCCGTAACTAGACAGACTAGATCCTGGCAAGTCAATCAGGTGTGATTGTGGCAGTATCTTCCACGAATCACTTTTAATATTATAGCAAAATGTATATTGATTCTCCCCATTATCCTCAGTTTTGTGAACAAATATGTATTTTTCAGTTGTGGAGGGTCGAGCATCAGGGAAAAGTCCACCTGAACCTTGCACACACTGGACCGCATCCATGATGGTGTCAAAACAGCCTGTGCTTTTGAGTAAACCCTCTTCACTGAGCAGACAGTCTTGAAGTGTCTCCTCAGGTAACTGATGCAGCCTTACTTTTTTAATCAAATGAGGCAGATGCTTTTGTCTTGATTCTAAATTATGTTTAGTCCAACTAAGGACAACTTTCAGTACAGTTTCTTCTTCAGGAACATTTAATTCATCTGATTCCAGACATTTTTGCAGTACTCCAAAGTTCATCTCTAAGAAATCACTAGACTTAAATAATAAGGAAAAGTGATGTTGTACAAAGTATAATGCATGATCAAACAAACGGGGAGAGCCATAGCTATCTGATAGAGATAATAACTGTAAGCAATTGACAAGATTAATACTTTTTATTAGAAAGTCACTGCAAGCTTTGGATAGGAAGGAAACTTGAAGAAATGATGACAACTGGAAGAACATTTCCACATTATCATCAGTTATCTTTGCTTTTCCAGTGTAGGCATAATCAAGAAATGCTTTTACTGCTTTGGAGGACAAGTTAGTAATGGTAACACTTCCACCATCTCTTTCTTTCATGTTTACTTCAAACATAGCCCTGTAAAAATAGAGAACACAGAAGAACAAGTAACCAGGAACATTTTATTCCATAGATATTTTCAAGCTTGCTTTAAAGAGGTATCCTCCTTTACCCTTAGGCTGATTTTAAAAAATATTTGCAACATGTATTTTAAAAGCATCCTAACAAATCATTTCAATACATAGAATAGTTACATACCGTATTATTTATCTGCAGATTATATATTATATAACTCTAACATTGTGAGATTGTAAAAATTATAACTGGGCTACAGCAATTAATCCAAAGAAGACTGTAAAAACATTCAAATTTTATATACTGATTTGATGTCCTTATAAATTATTCATAAAATTCAGGTAAAATCTCTCTAATGACAGAATTTCTTTGTTTATGTGATAATTAGTATCAACTGTGCAGTTGATAATTAAAATTATGTAAAATACATAATGCACTTTTGGGTTTAGGAGCTGAAAGTCTTCCAAACATAGTTTTAATTTGGCAGTAGTGAAACATGTTGCCAATGGTTCTGTGAATGTAGGAAAATCCACCAAGTAAAAGAAAATTAAAACAGGTCTAAAAACATACATTTCATAGAGTTTTAGGAAAAAAGAAATATGATTCTCTAAGTGTAGTAAATATACCCTAAGCCACAAGAGAAAGGCTAAAAATAAGTTTTCAGGATAGATGAAGATGGGTCTCCTGATTTGAATAATTAAATCATCTGAATGTTCTTCATAATAACTTCTAACTTACCTCTACATGGCAAAGTTGTAGAATCTTAGGAATTGGGAAATCTGGATGCCCAACTTAACAAAAATATAAATTATTTAGAAATGTTTGGGCAAGTGGCTAAAATGTATTTTATTATTGACTTTGGCAAAAAAAAAGTATTGCTACCCTGTACTTATATTAACTTTACGAAACAGAAATTTTATACTTTACACATCCATTTTTATGATTTAAACAAACCCATTATAGTGGCTGTCTGTGGGTGTAGTATATAAGCCTCCTTTCAACTTAGACAAGAGCAGGATGCTTGATCACCCTGAGGCAATACTCATGTGCTTTGTGCCCCAGGGACTGATCAGTGGAACACCTTGTTAATAAGATTAGAGCCATGGGTGGTAGTCTGGTGTATACTTACCCTCCCTAAAGCCCAAAATACAGTGTTCAGTTTGACCCACCTTCTCTGTCATAAAAAGGCCAGCATCCTGCATAGAGCAGCATACTGCATCCTACAACCTGCTCCATGACCCCTGTTTTCTTTATCACTGCAGTGTTGCTGATGCAACAGCTGTCAGTAGAACAAACAAATGGAGATTACGTGGAAAGAGCTTCAACAAAGAAGCTAGACTGCCCATTGACCATTCATTAGTACTGAAGGTCAAATGGTTTGTTTCTGGTTTTAATACTGGTTTGTATTTAATATTATGCAGCGACACTTGTGAGCAGTGCCTGCAGATGCCAAAAACTCTGCAAGGAAACACGGTTGTGATTCGAGTCTACCCTGGAGGGTAATGAAAGTTATTAAAGATGCACTAGCATCCAACTGAAAAATACAAGGGGCCCTAGAAATGCAGAATGTAAGAATGTAAGAATGCCTTCATACTAGGCCAATATAAAAACAAACAGTTCCCAAAATTACATACATCACATGTTGGGCAGAGTATTACAGTAATGTATAACAACTTAGAAATATTAACTTGTGGTGACAATTGTGTTATTAGATATATACAGTCAGCTGAGGGTACTATTAAGAGCATGGCCTCTAGAACCTCATTGCCTGCTGAACAACTATCCCTTTTTTAACTGTGTGACTTTAGAGAGATTTAACTGCAATGTCTTTCAAATTCTCCATTTGAAAACAGGGATCTACTGGTAGTATCTATTCCACTGAGTAAAGGAGTTAATGTAAAGTACCAGCTGTTATCATTATTGTAAAAAAAGTGTTTTCTAGCAGAGTCTATGTATTTTTAATCAGCTTCCACATTTTCTGAGAAGACACAAGATCATAGCTCTATACTTCATCCTACTCATCTTTAAAGTATCCTGTTAACATCTGTCTCACTGTCTCAGATTTACCATGTTACCAGAAAGTGGTTATATAATGTTACACAATGTGTGATTCTTTTTCAGTCTTGTCTCCAAAGACTTTGCATTTCAATAGTAATTTTTGTTTTCCAAAAACATTGTAAAATGCATTTATCATATATTATGTGCTCTCCTGCTATTTCTGTTTTATGCTTTTCCTCCCCATACTTCAGGGAGTTAGATTACAACACAAATATTATGATTTAGTGGCTTTCTGGTACAAAAGTGTAAGTGACAGAATTTTTATCTTTATGTATACGTATTCTTATGTGAACTGGGTTCTCATCAGTAAAACATATAATAAAGGATATTTAATATAGGTCATTATAAAACTTCAAAACAGGTAGAACAATTTAAATTGATTGTTCTAAGAATAAAACATTTAAAACTGATCCATAAAAAGCTAAGAGTAAGCAGAACAAGTACTATGGGCAAAACAGCAGCTGACACTAATCAAATGACGTGGACACTCCTAACCATTACTATACAATAGTTCAAAAGCATACTGACTCTATGAGTCTGGTTCTATTTTTATTACCTTATTATTATTATTTTTACAAATAAGAAACTAGAGCCAGAAAAGGGGAAGTAAGTTGCCTAAGGCCACATCTAGTAGATAGTGGAGCTGGGATTTAGATTTAGTGTATGGATCATAAGGGGCCGAGTCCTTAACCAGTGTAGTGTTCAGCTTTCTGTGATGCTGAAGTGACTTGAAGGGAAGGGAGCAAAAAAAGAGTCCCATGGAAGAAAACTGATTGGAAGAGAGGTGGGAAGAAACTAGTGGAAACTGAGTGACAGGGTAAGAGCAGCAAGGGCTCCAGCGGAATTTGAATAACAGGTTACCTGAAGAAGAAATGAAATGTACAGATGAAAACATCTAGCCTGTTTAGGCAAACTGTTCAAGACTGTTGTAGCCTTCCTGCCCCCAGGAAACTGATGCAGCCCTGAGCCACTGCTCCCCAGTGCAAAGCTGGAAACCCAGCAGGAACCTCTGTTTAGCAAGTAGTAGACAACTTTTGCTGAATGAAGTGCAGTTTCAGTGCAGGGCAATAAAGGTAAAGTCTAATTATATATTGGTAGTAAAGCAGGAGATAGACAAAAAAGTAAAACCAGTATAAATTAACTTACCTCTGTATAGTTTAAATCTTACTCTGTTAACATCAAGTTAATTCATTATAGTTTTAAACCCTGCTTACTTCAAAGAAAAATTGCTTCCAAAATGGAACATTATGCAAAATACTGCAATTAGGCTATAAGTTTACTGTAGTGTGACTAGGAGGACTGACAGCCAGATGTCACTGAGAGGCCTATGTCTCACCGAGAGGCCTACCAGGATGGTATCACGTTAATAGGGTTACCATGGTTCTAAGGCAGGTGTCTGATCTTAACTGGCAGCTTCAGAAACCTGCTGTGATCACGGTGGATTTAGTGTTGTGATGAGGCCTGTCCCTACAGGATTATCTACTTGGGAAACCAAATTATATACAGAAAGTTGCTGAGGACGAAAATAATTTGGGTACTCTCTAGAAGTGCTTCTGGAATTATTTTTCTCCATTTTAGGGATAACTTGCCAAAGAGAGGCGAAATTTTTAAATCTGGGTTAAAGTTCCTCTCCCGTGATAATCTATACATGGAAGACTGGAATTTATTTTAGTCTCAGACTCTTCATTGTCTTTGAACTTTGATCAATCTGTCCTTTCCTCTTTTTCTAAATGATACAGTGCAGGGATCCTCCAAACAAAAATGACCCCGATCAAAACATTTTTTTTCAGAACATTTCAAAGGATTAATAATGTTCCACAGAGCTTTGAGAAACACAACCCTGGGAAGACCCGAGCCTTCAAAATAGTCGTATTAACTTTTCATACTCAAAAATCATTACTCTAGGAGCTTTTAATAAGCATTAAAAATTATTGTTGTGCATGCTACTGTGGAGGGGAAATTGAGTAGTTATAAAAAATAATTATCCAAATAATAAAATCTGAGGCATAAATATATAAAGTACCTGAAAAAGTCACTGCATGCTGCTAATACACAACGATGGCATGGGATTGTTTCATCTTTCATGATTATTTTAAAATCATAAAAGACATTTTGTTCTCTAAAATTCTGTAGTACACTTAGGATTTTCTGTCCATGATCTTCTGACACAAGGAAGTTGTTTTTCTTCTCAGATGGAATTCCATTACATGAGCTTCGTTGATTAAGATCAAATGAATTATCCATAGCAAATTCCATCTGTTCTTAGAACTGGAATGAAAAATATATCATTGATGTAGTAGAATCAATGAAATTGGCAGACTCCAAAAATTGCCCTCTTAAGTGTTAATTACACAAAAAATGCTCAGTAATTACAATCATGACAGTAAGCCTTCTAAATAACTTTTCATTATATTTAATACTTGCTAAATCTGAGCTCAGTGGAATAAAAAGTATATTATTGAAAGATAATATTCAAGGCCTTACCATTATGTTAAACAGCAAAATCTGTACATTGTATAAGTAGCTTATACAGGATTTTACTACGTGACTAGTCTTACTGTTACAAGCAGCAGTGTTGTTTATTCAGTAGCTTGGCTATATACCCAGCACATCCTTCTCCCCTCCCAACCATTTTCTTTTTCTTAAAGATTTATTTATTTATGCATATAAGAACTGTGGTGTAAGCCAGAGGTATGAGGGGTGAGAGGGATTCACCAGAGACAGAGTGGGGAGCAGAACAGGCAGGTCTATTGAGATATACTGCTTGAGGGGAGCAGCGGGAGAGACTAGAGAGGTCTGCTGTTCCATGTAGGTCAGTTCCCTGAATGGGATTGAACTCATGCTGCAGTGGCTGGCAATAGCTTGATAGTACTGAGGTTTTAACCACTGCACCACCAGGGAGGCCCCCCATACATTTTCTTTTGGTAGCAAAGAATTTGTCCAAATGTTGATCATGAAGCATATGGTATATGCCTTCTGACTTTTAAAAGAGACTTTTAAAAGAGAATCGATTGAAAAAGATCAGAGTGTTAGCTTGTATTAACTAGTTAAGGCTTTTTGTAAGGGAAAAAAAGACAAGCATTGGTTCGAGTTAGTTTGAAAGCAGGAAGGAAAAGAGTATAAACCTTTTATTAAGAAAAGCTTTTTTAAACATGAGGTCAGAAATCCAACAGAGTTGAAGTTCAGATCATTATGATTTTTCCAAAGTGCAAATGCAGTTTCAAGGATAAAAGTTTGGGCACCAAAAGCAAGGAAGTGAGGTACAAGTAGAAAAGAAGACTGTAGACTAGCAGAGTCAGATAAATAGGGAACTTTGACTCTTAGTCTATTTCTTTTGTGATTATCTGATTAACTATTACTTTTGCAAACACCCTAATTGTCCCTTAACATTATTTCTCATGGTTCTGTTGGTTTAGCTGTAGGTTCTTGCTTGGGGCTTTCATATGTCCAGAATCAGATGGCAGCTGTGGCTGACTTTATCTGAGCCTGACTGAGGCACAAGTTTCTTCTTTCGTTATTTCTGATGCTTCAAATGAGATGGTTAGATAGAACCATCTCTGTGTCCTCATGCACTTATCTATCGGGCTAGCTTATACTTGTTCATAGTATGGTAGCCTTGGGGTAGTGAGACTTTGTAGGCAGCCTGGTTCTCCCAAAGGGAGTGTTCCAGGGGGCCAGGTGGAAGCTAGACTCTGGAGAAGAAATCCTATGGCACCAATCAAAACTCTATTCTAGGCCAGAGATATAAGTACTCTGTTGCCCAGTACAGTACTTCAGGCTATGTGTAGTTACTTAAATTACTTAAAATTACAAATTTAGTTCCTTGGTTGCTCTTGCCATATTTTAAATAGTAAGCACATACAATGTGATGTTTAAGTTTATGTGTCAAAGACAGGGTGCCCAGACATTTGACTAAATATTATCTCTGGGTATGTCTATGAGGGTGTTTTTGGATGACATTCACATTTGAATTCATAAAGTATGTTGCCTTTCTTAATAGGAATGGGATATGCAATCCACTGAGGGCCTAAATAGAAAAAAGATTGAATAACAAAGGACCATTTCTGTCTTTGAGTTGGGACATAAGGTTCATACTGCCTTGGACTAGCACTCAAGAGTAGAACTATATTATCAGCTCTCCAGCTTACTCACTGCAGATAGGGTCTTCTTAGCCTCCAGTCATGTAAACCACTCCTCTCGAATAGATCAATCACTCAATCAATCTATCATCAAGCTTGCTAGCAATCTCTAATTGGTTCTGTTTTTTCTGGAGAACGCAGACTAATACACATGGTCTAGTGGCTACTGTACTGTATAGCACAAATATAGAACATTTTCATCATCATAAAAAGTTCCATTGGATAGCTGATGTATAGGTGAAGTATTGTAATCCTTTGTATACAAAAATTAGAAAAATAGGGCCTCCCTGGTGGCGCAGGGGTGAAAGACAGTGCTATGAAGATATCACCAGCCACTGCAGTGTGAGTTCAATCCTGACTGGCCAGGGAGCAACCCACACGGCACAGCAGTCCTCTGCTGTCTCGCCTACAGTTCCCCTCAGCAGTGTATTTCAGTGGATTTGCCTGTTCCGCTCCCTACTCTGGTGAAACCTCTCACCTCCCCGCACCTCTGGCTTATACCCCAGTTCCTGTATGCATAAATAAATAAATCTTTTTAAAAATTAGAAAAATAATTCAGCAATATGTAAGAAATTATGTACTATGACCAAATGGGTTTGTCGGAATATCATTATCCCCCAGAGTAGCAAACTAAGAAAAAAAGTCACATAGTTGTATGAACTGATATAGTAAGAGTGTTTGAAAATCCAACACCTATTCATAAGAAGGACTCAACAACAAGAAACAGAAGAACTTCCTCAACTTGATAAAAAAAATCTACCAAACTACCTATGACATTATTCCACATGATAAGAGACTGGATGCTTTTGCTCTAAGATTAGGAAAAACATCAAGGATAAACATTCTTACAAGAGCTAGTCATCATAGTACCAAAAGCACTGGCCACCAAAGTATAAAATCAACATACAAAAATCATTGTATTTTTGTAAACTAGCAATGAACACATGGAAACCAGAATTTAAAGTATAATATCACTTGCTAAAAAAGAGAGAGAAAGACTTAGGTATAAATCTAAGAAAACATATACAAGATTTGCACAGTGAAAACTACAAATGCTGACAAGAAAAATCAAAGACCTTACTGTAGAGACGTGCATTGTTTATGAATTGGAAAAATCAACATAATAAAGATATCAATTCTTCCCCTACTGATAAAGAAGTTTAATACAATTCCTGTTAAAATCTCAGAATTTTTCATAGCTACAGATAAAATTAATGAAGTATGAATAATAAGTCTTCTGATTTCAAATTCCACTATTATATATCTGCAGTAAAAAAGACTGACACTGGAGAAAGGACCAACACACAAATCAGTGGACAGAATATATAGTTAAGGCCAAGGGTTAGTCAATAATTTGTTAGATATGATGCACAATTCATAAAGAGAAAAATTGATAGATTGAATTCTATCAAAATTAAAAACTTTGAAATTTCATAATACACTATGAAAACCCTGTTGCAAGAATGAAAAGATAAGCTACAGACCAGGAAAAAAATACTTGTAAACACAATCTGATAAAAGATGTATCTAGAATATAAAACGAAATGTCAAACTCAGTAAAGAAACATTACAATTAAAAAGTGGGGGAAAATGGGCCTCCCCGGTGGCGCAGCGGTTGGAGCGCTGGGTTGCGAAGCTGCCCGGGCTCTGTGGCGCCGGTTTCGATCCCCGGCTGCTCCCCGGCCACCGGAGGAGGGTCCCACATGGCGTGCAGACTTCTCCTGCCGCCCGCTGCTCCCCTCAGCAGTGTACTTCGGTCCTTCTGCCTGCTCTGCTCCCCGCTCTGGCTCTGGTGAATTCTCTCACCCTCCCGCGCTTCTGACTGTACCCAGTGCAAGTATAAACAAAACAAACAAACCAGCAAACAAATAAATAAAGCATGCCTCTATAAAAAAAAAAAAAAAAAAAAAAAAAAAAAAAAAAA